CCGCCTCCCCAGCCCCCCCCCGTGATGCCCTGGCGGCCCCGCAGAGCGGCGCTGGGTGCCCGCGGGCCGCCCCTGGAGAACAGACGGAGCCCGGCCGCCCCTCTGGAGCCCCCCCCAAAAAAGAAGCCCTCTCTCCCTCCCCCCCCCAGCCCCAAATATTCTGCTGATTCCCACTTAGGAAAAGAGAGGGAGGCGCTCAGCTGGCGCCACCGCAGAGCCTCCCCGTTTTGGGAAGACAACCATCATCCTCATCATCACAGGGGCAGGCTGCACCCTCATATCCACGGCAAGTGCTGCTTGCCTGTGTCAGCTGCCCAAGGAAGAGGAATAGGGGGCCTGCGGGCTGGCCGGAAGACAAAGAGGGCAGGCCTCCCCCCCCCCACCTCCCCACCCACCCCTCTGTGGAAAAGAGCTGCTTCCTTGTGGAGGGAGCCCCCTTGCCCAACCGAGGGAACGGCCCCCTCCCTCTAAAGGGCACAGAGCAGGCCTGGGGGGAGAGTGTTGCTCTGAGCCCCCAGCCCCTGCTGTGTTTGTGGGGGGGGGTCATACTAGGTGCCCAGGAAGCTCCCTTCCCCCTCCCCCAATTTTTGTGCCCAGGAAAACAGATCCAGATCATCACTCAGAACAGAATAAATTAAGCAAAATTACGAATTGCTTGATGAGCAGAATTTATTTTGAGAAGAAAGGCTGAAGTTTCCTGGAATGTACTGTGGGTCCGAGCAGCCCCCCTGTCCAGCTCCACACCTCCAGTCCTTTTTCTTCCAGGAATGACTTGACCACCACGGGGGGCGCGGGGGGGGGGAAGAGGCAGAACTCTACAAGGGGCTTCAAGCGCAAGCAAGAGAGAGAGAGGGCCCTTTCTCCTGGCAGGCCCAAGTGATGCTCCCACCCTTTGCTCAAGGAAGCCCCTACGGGAGCAAGCGTACAAGGAGCAGCGGCACAGGCTGTCCCGTGGCCGGGGAGGGGGTATTGGGGGGGGCTACATGTCAGGAGGGCAGTTCTTCTGCTCTGTGGGTCTCATGAGAGTTGTGTCGATATTGTAGGACTGGAGGACGGCCTTCAAGCGGTCCACGGTCTCCGGGTGCAGCTCAGGTGTTCTGGACAAGATCCAGGCATAATCTGCGTGGAACATCCACAGGAAGGGGGTGCAGGAGTAGACCAGGGCGTAGTCCTTGTAGTCTGTGCTGAGGACCCAGTAAGGAGCTGCCGGCATCACTGGAGGGAAAAGAGCCGCCGCCGCGTGAGAGAGCAGGCAGGGATCGGCAAGCCCCTCCGGGCTGGAGCAGGTGCTGTCCCCCCCCACCCGTGCCCCTCCAGTGGCCTGAGAGGGCTCGGGTGGGGGTCACTGGGCTGAGGGGGAGGTCCAGGCACACCCTCCCCTCCCCTCTATGGGAAAAGGCCTTCCTTTTGCACAGAACAGCGCAGGGCCACCAAATAAAACGGATGCCCCTGTTCAACCAGACGTCCCTCGCTGAGGATCTGGCCCTCCTGGGAGCCAGGCTGGCTCTTTTGTGAGGCATAGCCTGATTTACGCCATAAAGCAAAGCCCAGCGGCTGGCTTAACAGGTCACTTCAGCATGTGATCAAAGGAGGAGGATCCTTATGGAGGAAAGCCGGCACCCCTCTACTCTGAAATCAAGTCAGCCCTCCTGGAATCTACTCCGTAGATTTCTCCAAGAGCGCCCGGGACGCCTCCCCCAGCTGGGATGGCTGGCAGAAGAGGTCCCCTGGCCACCAGTCCGTTTTCTGGGGCCCCTTCCAAGTGCTGCTGATGGCCTATGAAGCCCTATGGAACCTGGGCCTACTACAGGAGAAGGAACCTGGGTCTCACTCCCAGTGTGTGGGAAGAAGCCTCTCCCTCCGTCCTGAGTCGGAGCCCACCGGCCTTCTGCTGGACAAGCAGCCCTACATTGGGCGGCCCAGTCATTCCGACCCTCTCGCCCACAGGACAGGCGATGGTGGAGGTGGGTGAGGGGTGGCAAAGGGCAGCCAACCTGCCAAGGGGTGAAGCAGGTTCTCCCCTACACACACAACACACACACACACACAAGAAAGGCCAAAAAGGGGTCCTTCTGCAGGCGAGCCCGGGCATCTAAAGGAGAGCACAGCCGAGGGAGGTGCATGGAAGGGGGCCGAGCTGCCAGGGGAAGGGGCTTCAGCTGAAGCCCAACGGGAAGGGGTTCATCAGAGAGGCCCTGCTCCACCGGATGCAGACGTCAGCAGACCTTCCCCTCCCCACCACCACCAACCACCACTGGGTCGTGGGCAGGAGCAATGATTCAGGGAAGGGCACAGTGTTGTGGCACGCTTTCCACACTCACGGCAACTGGTTTCCAGCAGCGTCAGGCCACCTGCCTACTTACTCCAATTAAATTTCACGTGCAGCTTAGCCGGTTCGTTGTGATCTGCTCCAAAAGCTTCCCCCTCAATGTGGTTAATGGAGCCGTCCATCCTGTGTAAGGGAGCGAGGCAAGGCGTTCAGAAAAGGGAGGAATGGCCCAACCGCCAGAGGGGAGCATTTGCAGGAAGGTGGGGGCCAGGTTGGCTGCCCGCTGCACGCATGTGGACTCCTCGGGAGGAAAGGATAAGGGGGATATTCATGGGCAAGCAGGAAAGCCCTTGGAGGGTGTAAGTTCCAGTCCCCATTTCTGGCACTGACCGCCCCCCCCCCGGCCACTCTGTCTGCCTCCCACCTGAAGCAAAAAGGGAACCGAGCTCTCTCTCTGCTCCTCTTACTCCAGGGTCAGTTTCTTGGCAGCCCTCAGAGAGTGGCCACGTTTGCCCTGGCCTATCCTTCGGTTGCACAAGGCGGGACTGAGACGGCTGGGCGGTCAGTGTGGCAACAGTGGCTGCTCTCAGGGATAGGCCCCTGCCCTGGGGAGGCCGCGGTGGGCGCATGCACCAGCCCTCCCTCCTTGTGCCATGGCAGGGCGAGAGAAACAAGGGCCCGGCGGGGGGGCAGTCCCCTCTCCTCAGTCCTGGCCGTGCTGCCCCAGGCGGAGAAGGGGGGGGAAGGACTTATTTATTTATTTTAATTTATACCCCGCCTCTCTGGTGCATGAGCACTCTTACCGAAGCTCTTGGTTCACCACTCTGATTCTCCCGTCGGCTTTCATGGAGTAATTTGCCTGAATGCAGTGGCCTTTCTCGAAGGTTGAGGGCAGCTTCTCAATCTCATACCATTTCCCCAAGTACTGAGAGAGAGAGAGAGAGAACACAAGACGACCGTTGGCAGCACTGAAGGGCCTGCGTTGCATAGCCATTATCTGAGGACTCCCCAGCGCGGCAGCTCCGTCTTGAACAAACCCCTCGGCAGGCCCCAAGGGGACCCCCCCCTCTCTGGTCTGACCTGCTTTTGGAGAACTTGCGCCCCCCCCTCCCGGTCTGCTCCTTCACGGCCCCAGATCCCCGCTCTGGCAGGAGGAGCCACCCAGGAGGGCAAAACCCAAGAAAAAGAACAAGACCTCCTCCTACCTTGTGGATGTGGAAGGGCTGCTGCACTGGGGGGTCCGGGCACTGCCCCGCGTGGAAACTCTGGCCCTGGGCCACACCAAGGATCCCCAGGAGGGAGGTCCACAGCATCAAGCTGCCCGGCATAGTGGCGGGCAGAGGCAGAAGGGCCCTTTCCTCCTGGAGGAGGGGGAGAAAGAAGGCGGTGAGGTGGCAGGCCTCGCCAGGGGGTGGGCCGGGAAGCCCCAGCGCTGCCGGAGGGGGGCTTCAGTGAAGGCTCAGCAACACCTCTTCTGGCTGGGGCACCCCACAGCCAGGAACTGATGCAAAGGTCAGAGCCCATAGGCAGCCGGGGAGACCCTCCGTGGAGAGGGAAACGGAGGCGAGCCCCCCCCCATGGCCTGGGGTGTTTTTATTGCCAGATGTCTCCCCTCAGAGCAGGGGAAACAGTAAATCTTAATAAGGGCAAAGGCCAGGGAGGTCAGCCAAGCATTTGCCCCCCCCCCAGGAGTCCAAGTCTCTGCTAAAAACGAGTTCCCCCCCCCGCAAGAGAAAAAAGGGAGGGGTGGATGGTTTCTGAGTCACGAGTGGAGTCCGTCACTAGAAAAAAAAGCCAGACACTCGAGTGTCCGGCGTGACTCAAGTCTGACTTCACAGACGGTCCCGCAACTCAAGTCCCCCATTCTTGGCAAGGGGAGAACTTCACCAAGCAGAGGGATTGTAGTAAAATGGGGTTGGCGGCGGGGGCGGGGAGAAGAGGCGGTGTGCGTTCAGAGCTGCAAACTATCCTGCAAAACCAATGCCAGCCACAGCCGGATGGCCCCTGTGTGGCTTCCGGCCCCTTGAGATGGGCACCAGTGGTCACTGTTCTGGCCCGGCTCCCTGACCCCAAGCTGTGTAGCGGAGCCCCACAGGCAAGCCCCACGGGGCCCTCCTCCACCCTGGAAGGCCACCTTCCGACCCACCTGAGCTAAGGGATGCGCTCTCCTCCGCGATGCCTCCTCGCAAGCGTTGGGACGGCTGCCGAGCCCTTTCCTGAACACCTGAAAGTGCTGCTCCTTTTATCGGCATCATCTCCATCGCATCAGGGTCATCATCACAGTTCACTTGATCCCCAGGACAAGCCACACCCTCCCCTCACATGCACGCTCTTGCTCTGGCTTGTCCCTTTGTTGTCAGGAGCTGGGGCCCATCCGGGGTGCCTGCAGGGCATGCGCCAGGCTGTGAACATCAAGGAAACCCACTTCCTTTCTCCTGCCGCCCGCCCAGGCCGGAGTGAACTTTCCATTTTCAAATAAAGGGGAAGGGGCTGCATCTCCTTGGCACCCCTTGCCTGCCTGGTGCCGAGCCATCCCTGGCTCAGAAAAACAGCAGAAAGACTCTGAGCACAGGCAGGCAGAGCTGTCCTCCTTCACCCACCTGGCACGGAGGCCACCTTCCCGGGCTGTCTTCCCCTGGTCACCATATTTTCCTTGAACGATGGTGCCCCGAACAGAATGCAGTATTCCAGAACGGAGATCAAAATGGAATAAGGAAGCATGCAATGACCGGACAGTAGAGCTGAAAGGGAGCCTAAAGGGGGGGGGTCCTTGAGTCCAACCTCTGGCCACAGGTAAAGCATCCCTGACAGGTGGACCATCTATCCTCTGTTGGGAAGGCTCTGGTGAAGGAAAGTCCACTGCCTTGTGAGACGATCTGTTTCACGGTCCAACTGCTGTTACTGTCATGGAGGTCCTCCTAACAAAATCTCCTCTTGAATTTTGAATTCATTATTTTGGGCCCTGTCTTTTGGAATCGCAGGAGACAAGCTCACTCCATCATCCACATGACGGCCCTCCAGATGCTTGAAGATGGCCATCACATCACTTCTCCGTTCTCTCTTCCCTGGGAAGAGAACATAACCAACTCCCTCACCTGTGCCTCTTAAGGACTAGTTTCCAGACCATTCTCAGTTCTTCTCACCCTATTCTGGGCCCAATCCACTTTATCAGTCTCCTTCTTAAATTGGGGTGCCCAGAACCAGACACACTATTCCAGGTGAAGTTGGACCAAAGCACCAAAGAGGGGTACTCGTAATACATACTTCCCTTGACATTACACTTTTGTAGATGAAACCCAGGCATGTATTGCCCTCCCTCCCTCTCCTTCCTTCCTTCCTTCCTTCCTTCCTTCCTTCCTTCCTTGTTATGTTTAGCCCAGAGTCTACTGAGACACTTAAATCCTTCTCTCATGTACTACCATCAAGTTCATCCTATATTTGTGCATTTCATATTTTCCTGACTAAATGCTGAAATTTATGTTTTTCCTTTGTGAAACTCAATTTGTCTGGAAAGAGGGAGGGAAGGAGGAGCACAAAACCGCAGGGACAGCAAACATGGTGACATGGGGTGTCACAGCCTAAGGAACACCTGAGACATGGAAAGAGGGCCTTCTTTGGGAAGAACTGGTCTGAGCAGAGGCTGAGCAGAACGCCTTTCCCAGCCTTGGGTGTTGCCCTCGTCACCGAGCAAGGTATGCAGCACCTGCCAGGTGCAGACTTCCTGGGCAGGAGTGTGGAAATCCTTCGCACCTGCTGCCTTCATCAGACGGGAGATGTGCCCAGGCCTGGCCCAGGAATGCTGGTCCCTCTTTGACCCTGCGGAGCTCCTGAAGGCTACCGTGGGCTTGCCCACTGCCAGGTGGGAGCACGGCTGAGGCCTGGCATGCGGAGAGAGCCTGGAGGTCCTGCTCTTTTCCCAGACTGAAGGTGCCTCTCTCTCTCTCTCTCTCTCTCTCTCTCTGTGAAAGGCCTTGCGGTGAGCACGGCGGGGTGACAGGCCCTCAC